CAGAGGTACGTATCGAGAATGACTCGGACCGAAAATTTTCTAAGTCAAAAATTTTCAAAGTTTTCTTGGAAACTACATACTAGGTACTTTTATTCATGTTTCATGCTACCCTGATGATTTGTCGCAGCAAACGTGAAAAATCGCGATACTAAACATGCTGCGAAATTCAAAAAATAATTAGAATTTGCCCCCCCCCCCCCCCCCCCCCCCCCCCCCATGAAGAAAATCATTCCTACACCCCTGTTGAATTGTCTGTGTTTCTATATCTATACCCTATTTCCGCCTGAAATCCATTGTGCACGAGCTGTGCGATAAGAGACATAGCCATACTACTTAAAGCCTATTTAATAACTTAACCTAATTAGCGATTTAGATATAAAATTGGGCTCATGTGTCGCAAAGACTCCGGCCCTTTTGGTGGGATGCAACCCTAACTACCTAGCTCAAGCGAAAGTTATATTGTTATATTTAGGTTTAACTACAGCAACTGTCAGCGAAATGCAATTAATTAATATTGTAAATGATGTCCTAAAAATAGCCCATCAAGTGATTTTTTTATATAACCATCCGTTTCTTTCGCTCCTACGATTCTTGAATCGTGTTACAAATTACAAGGCAAAACTTTATTCATCTGGTACACTCATTTTTAAATATGGAGAATGCATGTAGAACTAGTGAAGCTGCTACTGACCATTATATGAGATTAATTCCATGTAATTCATTGCGTTAGGAATCTGAAACTAATGCCTGATAATCAATATCATATTATGATAAGAACGCTGAAATGTTAAGTACCGCAACACCTTCCATAAGTAACCCTAACTTTCAAACATCAGTGATATATTATATCGGTGATAATTATTATCACCAGTATTTCTCTCGCTATCAACTACTTAACTATAACCACTTCACCAAAGCCATTGACCATATCACAAGCTAACTACCTAGGATTGTCTGCAGCCTGCAGACCTGTCACGGCAAGTATCCAGTAAATTGCGAGTAAACATTTAAATAATGATTTAAATAAATTCGAGTATTGGCACCATTATGAATTGTATGATGAAGATGTACGTAGGTACAATTCTAATACATAATTATAAGATTCGTATATAATATAGACCCCAGTACCAGTTACAACTTGAAAGCCATTAAGAGTGGCATCAGAAGTCGACGCGGGTAAAAACTAAAATGAGATTCACCACTACCACTTACAGAGTCCCATGTAACTATCTAGTATTTACCTCGTGTGGCCTAATCAGTCTGCAAACAAGCACCGCATATAGGGATGGAATATTCGAGCTTATGCCCTTTTTATCAAGAGCTATCTCGGAATCAGAGCTGATACCGGAACAACCACTACCACTACCAATAACTGTTTTATTCGAGCTTTTCAATTATGATTAAAGCAAGTCCTTCATATTATGGAGCCAGGGCATGGACTGGCTACGCCTAGATAAAATTAAAGCACTCCAATCCCATTACATAATACTGAAATACAATCTAGGTAAACTATAGGTAAAAATATAATATTAATCATAAGCTAAAATGTACTAATCTTTGTATTCTAAATGGGGAAAAAGAAGAAACATTGTCAGTCAGTCGAGAAAATTGTCAGTCAGGCTATATGGCAGCTTTGTAGATTTACAATAAATTATGCATAACATTATAATCAACAAAATATGGATTTAATCTCAGATACAGATAATAACAAATACAATTCATGATTAGTGTGGCCCAGTAATCAGCTATGTAAGGCCCAAACTTGCAGCCTCTTCCCATGTGGTAAGTCTCTAGACTAAATGTGACGACACAATATTTAGTTGAACACGTATCTGCTTTCCCGGGCAAGTTATACAGTTATATAAATTGGATGTGGTTTAACAGTAAAACTTCGAGGGTGGTGGTTGCTCAACTCCTACTTCTCGTACAGAGCTGAGGGAAGAAATAATGGCGAATTAAGCCTCATTCATTAACTTTACAGTTCAAGATCATCATTATATAATATTCATAAATAATTCGAAAGAAGAGAGTTTGGAAGATTTTTGAAGAAGAGCTTTTCTGCCTTCTCCTTGACCGAAATTTCGTGGTTTTGAATTAAATTTTTACCAGTGACCAATCAGTAAGGTTTGTGAGAGTGACACAAGTCGCCATCAAGGTACTGGAAGCAGTATATCCGGAGAAAACTTTGATGCAATGAAAAATTTTGAATATGTCCTACCACTACCAGTAGGACATATTCGAATTTCAGCTCTCTGCGACCCAAATTTCACTGTTTCTGACTGAATTTTTCTTGAATGACCATCTTACAGGGTCACTGAGGATGGCACAAGACACGACTGAGGTACTAAAAGTTCTATTCCCAAAGAAAACTTTGATATTAACGAAAAATCGTCAGAATGTAAAAGTAGATTTTGGAAGATTTTTGAAGAGACAAATTTTTTTTGACGATTGACCAATCAGTGAGCTTGAGGTCGGTGAAAGTGACCCAAATCGCCATCAAGGTATTGGGCTTAATTTTTGTATCATTAAGAGTATTAACAGTATTATCCAACTATCAGTATTTCATTACGAGACTAATAAACAGCGAACTACTCCAACATTTGATAACCCAGTGGCCAGTACCAGTTAAAACTTGAAAGTCATTTAAGAGTAGCAATAGAAGTGGACGTGGGTAAAATGAGATTCACCACTACCACTTACAGAGTCCCATGTAACTATCTACCTCGTCTGGCCTAATCAGTCTGCAAACAAGCACCGCATATAAGGATGAAATTGTCGAGCTTGTGCCCTTTTTCTCATGTGCTATCTCGGAATCAAAGCTGATACCGGAACTACCACTACCACTACCAATAACTGTGTTATGATTAGTCTGACCCAGTAACAGTAAGGCCCAAGCTTGCACTTTGCAGCATCTTCCCATCATGTGGTAAGTCTCCAGACTAAATATGACGACACAATATTTAGTTGAACACGTGTTCCTGAGTATCTGCTTTCCCGGGCAAGTTAAATGATTATATAAATTGGATGTGGTTTAACAGTAAAACTTTGAGGGTGTTGGTTGCTCAACTCCTACAAGAATTAGAACCACAAAAGGGAAAATCATATTATCCATGTCCTGTTTTCAGAGATTGAATGTGAAATTTCCGGGACCGATATTTGAAGAAAATGGAAATTTCATTTTCGCTGGAATATCAATAAATGGAACGTCAAAACGGGTTGAAATTGGGTTATTTCAAAATAACTGACACGTCAATTTCAAGAGATTTTAAGCCTTAAATCTGACAAAGTTGTACGACATGTACGTGCTACCAATCACACAGAGTGGTAAACCTATCACCTCTGGTTTGCCACTCCTCAGAATCGCTTATGCGGAGGATGGACCCTTACCTTGGGACCCCAGGCTATTATATTTATGTTCTTAATCATAAATAATATGTTCATAATCATAAATGGCCGAATAGAGATTCGGTAGAATGACAGGCTGAACGCCGCCCAGTAAGATGGACCCATACTCCGATGATAGATGATAGATGAACACAGATATAGATTAAAACCTGAAAATAAACTCAAATATAACTCAAGTAAGTTCATACGCTTATATGAGCCCAGCCGTGACGAATTATATTCACTGATAATTGTATATGTCCAAACTAAGTTGCAATTGAAATTGCCTCAGCTTCTCAGCTTAGCCCCCGGAGGTTTACGATTGATTGGATTGACTTTGAGAGCCAAGTAAAACGGTAATACCACCACTATAAGAACTAATATCGATAATAATCAACAATCTATAGGATAAAATTGAAAAACTCTATCATAGCACACAGCTGAAATTACTACTATCAAGTTAGATCGGAACTAATACCTGTAATAATTTCTTTTAGTTCCAGCAGTATCTGCGACAATCTAACGTTTTCATCACTGACCGACAACTATTATAACTAGAAATAACTATAATTCAGGTTCCCACACTTTGATAGGGCCGGGTGTAAAATGATTAGGGGTTGTTCACATATTACGTAGTCAGCCGAGGGGGGGGGGGGGGTCCAAATGCTTACGGTTGATTACGGGGGGGGGGGGGGGGGGGGGGGGGGGGTTTGGTCGTTGATTACATAATCACAATTTTCTTTTTTACCCTCTAGAATAATAACAATTTGACAATATTTTAATTCAAATTCCACTCTGATAGTGATAGAATTTAGAAATTGATCGAATATCCGGCTATAATAGTAAGTAGTTTTCTAGGGAAAAAGTCAAGGGGGGGGGGGGGGGGGGTCAGAAGAATTGTGTGGCTCACAATCTGTTCTCTAGGTTAGTGTGAACTGTGAAGGCCGGAGTTGAGGTTAAGGTTGCTGGCTGAGTTTAAGTTCCGGTTGTAGGTTGTTTTTTAGGTTAGGCCTAGTTATCCAGCAGCCGTTTTAATAGTTGCGAAACTAAATTCTTTTAAATCCGGCTGTTAAAATAACCGAAGGAGTTTAATAGCAGCGTATCTAATTCTATATATATAATAATAAGCTTACAAAAATATTTAAATTTAATATTTGGTCGATTCTTGAAATAAATGAATAAATTACTAGAATTAAGTAACAGAGACAAGAGAAGTTAGAGATAACCTACCATGTGAGATTACCCAGTTTCGTGTGCCTCGCTGTAGCAGTAAAAATATATGCTCTAAAAGCAGGAAGGAACATATGAAACGTGGCTCTATGCCAATAGCTGTATCAAGAGACAAGGTGGTATCAGAAACTATCATATTCTACCGAGTAGGAGAAGTTACAATACACCCACATCGAACTAATGCTAACTGTAATAATATTGCGACTAGAAGTTATATGTCGTGAATTTAATAAGTTATTGATTGAGTGGTGTGTGGAGCTAGCAAGAAGAAAACTGAACACCTTACGAGACATATTTAAAATTAAAAGGTACGAAATGCGGTGGGTTTCCGAAAAAACACCATATTTTCGGACTACCAAAATTTAGGTCACCATAAATTTTTCCCCCAAATTATTTTTAACATATTTTCTTTAATTATGACTTTGTCGATTTACTATCATTAAACATTATAGTAAGCTATCAATATGATTCATCTAACAAATGAACACTAGTATTACACCTGGGACTACACTGGAGAGAAAAACGTACCTGAACCAGAAGATCAAGAAGATCAAGAGGAAATTTACATGTAATTTTTCAAATTTCATATTTTATTTTATTGATTTTCTCAAATATTGGGTTTTACTTTATAAAATACTAGAAAACCCGTGGTCACAGGGCCGGAAGCTAATATTATTTTTTTGTCAGTAAGTTTAAATCGCGTCAAAAAATATCCCACACAACCGAAGATACAGCCAATTAAAATGTTGCTCGTACTAAACACAACGTAATATCAACGAACCCGATAAAATGCAGTTAAAATAATCATTGCACGACGCACGTGCACGTGTGTGCAATAACCCTCGTTACCAAGGTTATTAATATGCAACTACCTATTTCTCGTCTGATTTGCACGTGGGTGGTCGTACAGTGTACGTACAGACAGAAATAATTCTCTGAATTATAGTAGAGACTAGAAAACCCGTGGTAAGGGAGGAAATTAATAGTATTTTTGTTAGTAAGTTTAAATCGTGTCAAAAATATCCTACACAAGTACACAACTTAAGATACAGCCAATTATGTTGCTCGTACTAAACACAGCGTAATATCAACAAAACCGATCAAAATGACGTTAAAACAATCAATGCACGTGCACGTGCGTGTAATAACCCTCGTTACCACGGTTACTATGTAACTTCCTATTTCGCGCCTAATTTCCACGTGGGCGGTCGTACATACATACAGCAGAAATATAATTCTCTGAATTATAGTAGAGATTAAGAAATGAAAAAATCCCCAAATACCATGATTTAATTTGGGGAACGATAAAAAACCCATATTTTCGGTCCCAAATCATCTAGGTCACCGGAATTTCGTACCTTTTAAATATGTCTCGTAAGGTAACTTAATTTATGAAGTAAACCCTATAAAGTAAGTAAGAGGGTTAGTTTGCATTTATTCATAATCATAACATCTGACTGCAGCCGATGTTCTCCTTGAATCAATTTAGATGCTTATTTAGACCATTCTATCTTCTCTGAATTTTGTGTCCCTTTCCTTATATTAACTGTCCCTACGGTCTACACCAAAGATTAACACATTGTTGGGAAATTCAGATACAGGCAACAAGTTTAAAATGCAGTGATGGTTAAGGGGACATACACCAAAAGTAAAACCGTTTTTGGTGCCACCCCCAATTTAACCTGATATTCTGAAAGAAGCAATAAGTTTTTTTGAGTACATTATACTTACTGCTTCTTTCATAATATGAAATCAATTCGGGGGTGGCAACAAAAAGTTTTGTTGTATGTCCATTAATAGCTTAGACAGACATGTTAGGCTTTAATAAGGCTGAAGGCGACGGGCTGGGGTTCAAGCGCAGGTTACACTCGTATTACAAATAAAACTTACTTGTACTTGATTAGGTCTCCTCAATCATTCGAGTGGCCTGCACCAATGAACTCCCGTTTGTGACGTATCATCTCCCTCCAAAGTTTTCGGTCACTAGCCATCTCGCTCGCTCCTTCTAGGTCTATGTCAGTGTTTCCTGTAAACGATGCAGCATCTTCCAGCAAACATTTCCTCCAGTTCTTTCTTGGACGGCCCCTAGATCTTCTCCCATGGGCAGGGGTCCAGTTAAGCAGGTACTTAGGAAGCCTAGTGTCTGGCATTCTGGTGACATGGCCAAACCAACGCAGGCGGTTTGCTCCTATGTACGTCTCTACTGGATTTATCTTTGCACGCTCCAGCACTTCAGTGTTTCTAACCCGATCGAGCCATCTTATCCTAAGTATTCTCCTCAAGCAACGCTGATGGAACACCTCAAAGCGATGTAGCTGCTTTTTGGTTGTGTTCCAAACCTCACTACCATATAACAATATTGTCAAAACCGCTGCCTTATAAATCCTGATCTTTGTATAAGACTGGATGTTGCGGTTTTTCCATATATTACTCAGTTGATTGAAGGCTCCGGAAGCTTTCTGAATCCTAGCTGACAGCTCACGGTCGATAGTACCGTCGCTGGAAATAATTGTACCTAAGTACGTAAAGTCACTAACTTGCTGCACTGGCGTGTCTTCAACAGTGATGTTCACTGTGGCTTCTTTCGTGTATGGCCGTTGAGAGGTTGCTTTACCAATGACCATAGCCTCAGTCTTTTTACCATTGATTCTAAGACCTCCCTGGGCACCATACATACACAAAAGGTCAGTTGTTTCTTGAAGACCTTCCTCGCTGTTATCCAGTACAGCCATGTCATCTGCATAATCTGTATCTAACACAGTGATATCATCAACGAGCGGACTGATAGATCTTTGAAGAACCGCTCCGTGGGACACCACTTTGTTGCTTTCTGTTCTCTCAGCAGCCACATTGAGGCAGACATTAAAAAGTGGGGGACCCTGTATGTCTCCTTGGCCACTGCCTGAACTTACTTCAAACCATTCTGATAGTTCACCATTGTGTCTAACAGCACTAACAGTTCCATTAAAGAATGCCTGTATTATTCGAATGTATTTACATGGCAGGCCATAATGACTGAAAGCTTTCCAAATATAATTCCTGTCGATGGAATCAAAAGCTGCCTTGAAGTCCACAAAATTTACATACAGGGGGAGATTATATTCAATGCAGTTATGTATAATAGTGCGGAGTGAATAAATCTGATCAATGCATGATCTGTTCTTTCTAAACCCACACTGATTGTCTCGTAGCAGACTTTCTAAACCGTCACTCATGCGTTGTAATATGATGATTTGATACAGTTTAGATGCTGTAGATCTTAGAGTGATCCCCCTATTATTGGAGCAATGAGAGGTATCACCCTTCTTTGGTACAATTATCACGATGCCTTTCAACCAGTCGTCAGGCACTGCTTCTGAATTCCAAACTTTAGAGAACAATTTCTCCATCCTATCCACAAGACCACTTGCCCCATACTTTAACTGCTCATTAGAGATTTCGTCAATCCCAGCACTTTTGTGATTCTTCAATTTTTTGAGACAGTTTAAAATCTCAAGTCTTGTGGGGGGACCATCACCATCACCAAGATAAGGAAAGCATGGAACCACTTCAAGATGGTCCAGGTCAGACATATCCGCATTCGTGGGAGGAGGGTTTAATAGCTCCGAAAAATGTTCTCCCCATCTCTCTCTCTGAGCAGAGGGATCAGCAATCAACTTCCCGGATTTGTCTCTTACAGCAGTTGATTTTCGATTCTTCTTACCGGACAGTGTTTTTATCCGTTGCCAGACTTCCCTTTGACGGCCATGGACAGCAGCTGTTTCCAGATCTGCTGCAACTCTAAGAGCCCAATTCTCGTCGTCTTTCCTGCAGCTCTTTTTGACAAGTTTGTTGGCCCGAGAATACTCGCTCCTATTGTTGTTGTCATTAGGCGCCATTTGTTTAATCTTACTGCGTTCTGCAATAAGGGTTTTTGTCTCCTGAGACAAATGCTGCTGCTTTCTGCGCCGGGGGCGCTCACCCAGTACCTCCATAGACACTTCTTTAATAGTATCCTTAACTAATGTCCATTCTCCATCAAGATTCTCCTCCATTGGTAGGCAGCTAAAACGATTTTGAAGAGCAATGCAGTACTCTTCAACCTTGGACTGGTCTCTAAGATTCTCAATTGCTGGAGATATCCTACGAGAGGCGTTCATTTTTTGAACTGCCATAAGTTTGACTCTAAATTGACCCCGAACCAAATAATGATCGGAGCCAATGTCTGCACCCCTGCATGATCTTACGTCAAGTAGAGAATGACTCCACTTGGTAGAAATACAGACATGGTCAATCTGATTTACTGTGCGGCCATCTGGAGACTTCCAACTTCCTTTATGAATATCACGATGCTGGAAAAGCGTCCCACCGATTGTCAACTGATGTAATGCACAGAAATCTAATAGTCGAAGGCCGTTGTCATTTGATGAAACGTGAAGGGAATGCTTACCAATCACACCGGACCAAGCTGAGTTATCTTGGCCAATGCGAGCATTTAGATCTCCAAGTAAAAACTTCACGTCATGAGCTGGTAGTTCATCAAATGCCCCAGATAGCTGCTGATAAAAGTCATCCTTTACCCCGACTGCTGCATCCTCAGTTGGAGCATAAGCTATCACAATCGAAATGTTGATATGTCGACTGTGCAGCCTCGCTGCAAGAATACGTTCTGATATCGGACTGTATGAAATCAATGAATTTTTAGTCTTCTTCGAGAGGACTAAACCTACCCCTTGTCGTCTGTACCCATCACTTCTTCCTGAGTTAATAAAGAGGGACCCATCATCCAAGGTAACCTCACCAGTGCCGGGTCTGTGCGTCTCTGTCAGCCCCAAGACATCCATTTTATATGCTGACATATTCTGTGACAATTCATACAGCTTTGAGGAACTGCTCTCCAATGATAACACATTCCACGTTCCCACATTAATGCTGTGTTTGATAAAGTTGCACGGGAGTGCTCTCCCCTTCTCCGGGTCCACATGAGTGATATGCTGTGAACTAATAACACTGTTGAAATAAGGCGACTTCTTTGTTCTCATCTGCACACTGGGGTCCTTGCGGCTTTGCCCAGAGCACTTCATCCTGGCTACACCCCTCCTTGAACTCCGAGAGTCACTCCACTTTTGGTTATTCATTGATGTTTCAGTAGCTATTTTAAGGTTGAAGGGTAGCTGGCCCCTCGAACCTGGTAGTTTTTTGTCGACCTTTACTGGTCTAGATCCATAGTTTTTTGTTGCACCTCATCTGTTTAAACTGGAATCACCCAGAACAGATTACTGTACTTAAAAGTGGCACCTCGTAAACAGGGACAAAAGGATTTCGCGATTATTTTGGCCAAATTTCGCGGTACCGCGAAATTTAACAGGCTATACATTAAACTACACATAAAATTTGTCGCGGAGAATGGGAAATTTCGCGATTTCGTACATGCCGCGAAATCCTTTTGTCCCTGCTCGTAAAGGGTGTACTATGGTCATTGAAATAGGAGAGGTTATAAGTTACACGATCACTATTTCCTGAGATTATAAAAATCTCTTGCCACCAAACAAATAAAAGGGCCATATTAATCGACGATATCATATCATATCATGCGCATGACGACTCATTATTATATTAAATTGAGTTGGGTTATCTCCGGATGTAATTATCAATGATTGATTCATAACATAATTATTGACTATGTCAAGAAATGAACGGATTGTGGATACCTTTAACAAAATTCGAAACTGATGAAGAATAGAATACAATAAACTAAGGCGAGCACAGGTTACCTGTGCCGATCATACCCAAAACGGACCAAGGTTGCTTGTCAAAACGAAACGAAACAGGAAGTGACGCAGATCAGAGATGCCGATGAAACGTCTTCAATTCGAACGACGATTGACTACGCGCGCATTGACCGCGCGCTGCGCATGAACCTTGACCGAATTGAATTGAAACTCTAGAAAATTTGACAATGCATACAAAACTACCGTCCAAAATTACAGCCGCGTTTTCCAATAAAGCGATAATTTCTCTGAGACAGAAAAGAAGATTGGCAAATTTTGCACAAAATGCGAAGTATAACTTTTACTAAGTGGAATGTTCTAGAAAATGAAGTACCGAGTATAAGTTCATTCAATCAAGCACTAATAATGGAGATCTAAGAAACAGATCTGCTTGCTCTCAAATGGTGCTGTGAACTAGCAGTTCCCCTTCCATTTCAACCTCTCCTTAAACCAAAGACCCGCCTGAAAGATCAACAGTACTCTTCACTAGTGGGGGCCGCCTCATAACGGCGAAGAGACGAATTCCTAGGGAATGTCATAATTTTCCTTTTATCATATTCAGAAGTCACAAAACCCTTTTGGTTTCCTACTCTTCTTGGGCCCCGATTGGCTGATCTATGGGTGACTCAACAACAAGAACAGCTACAAGGACTACAAGGATATAACCAGATATGAGATTAAGAAGAGTTAGTCGGGTTACGGCTTACTAGTTGCGTATCAAATGTTTTGAAGGCAATCATACCGAGGTTAAACCTGACAGTGCCATTGGTGGAGCCTAACTCACTTGACTTGTTTCTGACTCACGTGACTTAGGACTGCTTGACAGGTCGAAATGATTTGATTTGAAACTTTCACCATAAAACGATATTTTATAATTTTAGAGACAAAATCGAACATATTTGAGGAAAAGCTATAATTATGAAGGCGCGGTCTTATGAGCAAAATCTTTACAAATTCTTCTTTGGTCAATTCTCGCCATTCATGTAGAATACAGAACTATGGGCGTTGATAATCAATATTATCAATAATCATTAATAATAACGTTTTCGTAGTATTTACAAATGAGGCTCCGAGGAAGTGGAATGACAGGCTAGGCTGGGGTTCTCTAAAATAAAATTTTATGAACTCTTTGAATTTAACATTGCCATTGGAGACGATTAACACAGTTTAACAATGTTCTGTTACCAACAATACTTTCACTGTTTTAATAACCCCACTCTAGTTAACATTTTCAGTTTGGTTCTGAATTAAGTGGAACTTTTCAAGCGCGGTTCGTACATTAAAGAGCCAATGAAACGACAATTTACAAAAACTATCAAACTCATTTAACAATAACATACGTAACAAATAGCACAAAAGAATGTCAAGAATTTAAAGAATTTAAAAGCAATGGTTGTTCAAAGGGAAAATGCATTTATTCAGAGGGTTAAGTTCTAAGCAGGGGTAAATATTTATCGCCGTGGTGATATTTGACATATATAAATAGTATATATTATATATTTGACATATAATATATATTATATAATAGTTATAAAAAAGACAAATTGTTTTAATTGTTTAAGCAAATAGCGCCTTGTTATTTAACCGCTCTTATGAAACGATTTTAATTTTTTACCCTGTAATAAAAATCACGACGACAAATGCTCACGACGACAAATGCTCACGACGACAAATGCTCACGACGACAAATCCTTACCCCTAAGTCTGGATCTCAAGGTGTAGCCTAGTTTTAATATGTTAGATCTGATATATAAGGTTATTAAACATCTCGGAATTGTGTCAAACCATTTAATTTCAAGTAAAGGAAAATAAGAAGGATTCATTAAATAATTGTTCATATCAAATGACAATTATGTATCCGATCTGGTTGAGCTATAAAAAATGACAATCACGTTTTAAAATGTTGTAGGTATTTGCAGGAAAAAGATATTCAAAGAGAAAATTGCATCAATTTGTAAAACAGCGATTATGTAACAAAAGTAAATTCTTATCATCTTTAAGCGACGTTACAAACTGTCGAGCAACCACCGGTGATTGACTCTAATTTATTCTGCATTAGCTCACTGTACTCAATAATTCCAACATACACCAAATTACGAAAAATCTGAACCTAAACAAAAAACCCCAATAACATTTAACTTTAACTAGCTCCTGGTAAGGGTACTATCACCCGAAAAAGCACCACCCCTAATTACTAATTAGTCCCTGACCTACTGAACTTTCCTATTTTTAATCTTTCTCGCTGCCCTAATTTGGTCCATTTCCTCGATTGACTCGCTGACTTCCCGTCCGGACGCTGTACGGCGTCTCCGCGGTAACTTATACGTGAAGTTCCAAAACGACCAGCCCAAGAAGACAACCACAAACGCTACCCAGAACGCCACAACGTGCGGAGGGAATGGTTTGGAGATGGTCTCGTATCCGAACTTGTACACGAGCATACACTCAGTCACCAGGATACTTACTGCTACCCAACTCTGCTGCCCAAACCGCTTGCACAGAGGGTTGGACATGTACTCATACTGCTCACGCATGGACACCGCGCCCATAAACAACATGATGGCAGCCCGGGAGTAGTTGACAATGTGGGGAGGCGGTATCCACAGCACCGCTTTTATGTAGAATGTGTTCAGTTCGAATAACATGATAATGGAACAGATTCCAATAACAGAGAACCATCTCTTCACATCATCCGTGTACCCCCAGTCGAACTTGGTCCAGCTTTGGGGGGTAAACTGGCTTAACACTCTCTGGAACTTTCCACGATTCCCTGGAATGGACCACAAGTCGCGCCAGTCGTAAGTTTTGGATTCCAGGATATCGAGAGTTTTAATTCCCAACCATATTCCTAGTCCGTTACAAATAACGGCATCCAATACCCAGTGATCCCACCAACACTCCCCAAAGTTAGGAAGTTGGTGCTCCAGGGAATATTCTAGAATCTCAAATGTGATGCTGAGCACGAAACTCATCCAGTAGTCGCGGAATACGATAGCTTTGGCCCACCAACCAGTGAGATGGAATATCACGAACCAGTCCATCTTATCCCAAACGTTATGGTACGGGTCCTCAGGGTGGTCCGGGTCGTAGATGAGGCAGTTGTTGCTGAACAAACAACAGGGTTACAAACTTACAATAGTATTAGTACGCGACAAAAAAGATTTTAAAATAGTTTCTCGATTGAACCGATTCAATTCTTAGGTGGAAAATTCAAAAATTCATGAAATTCAAAAATAAAATGTTAACTTAAGATTGAATAAAGTTTGAAAACTGACCTGTAATCCATTTCCTCCAGCGGTGTTCCCAACTCAGGGTCAATGTACACAAGGAGCCTTCTAACATCATCCTTATGTTGGAACAGTGTGAAGATGAGGATCAGTTCGTACAGCATTGATAGGGCTAGAACTAATCTGAAATAGTACTGGTATTACAAAGAGGATAATAGTGTACACCTTAATTCAACTTAGGAACTTCTAGTTCTGCTTATTATTTTAACGATTATTTCGTCCCAATTGTTAGATTTTGTTCGTAATACGATCATCAAGTTGATCAGGATTATATTGTATAACGTATAACAAGTACATGTTACACAAATATGAATAATCAGTAGATCAACAAGCAACAACAACTGCTTTACACGGAGGAGCTACAAGCTTAACAGAGAACGGTTATAGCGAATATCACAATCAATAATATAAAATATGCAGATATCATAACGAAAATATGCAGATAATATAACTATAAAAATACCTCCAAAATATGGGATGAGGCCTGATAAACGGCCCGTTCCTCGTGTGTATCATAGCAATGTACAGGAAGGACACGCTCACGAAGAGAAGTCCCCGTTTGGTGTTGAGCGCCGTATCTTCACTGCTTGTCTCAAAGAGAGCAAAGTACGCTATCACACCCAGGAATATGACAAGACCTGAGATGTAGTCACGTTAGTAGAGCAACCTGTGAAATGTGATTAATAACTTGTCACTTCATACTTCACTTCATACTTTACTGTAAGAGCAGACTTCCGAAGAATCAAGAAATGAAAATACAGTTTGAATTTGTATAATGCTGTTCTAAACATCTTCACTTGGTTTTTAAAGGTCGAAGGATGATTTGAGATTTAAAACTTTAAAGTGAGGATGCGAATATGAGGTTAACCTGTACATGTGAGGGTATGAGGTTTACCTGTGATGCTATGAGCGCTATCTGAGAGACTATGAGGCTTATCATTGAGGTTATGAGGTTTACATGTGAGGTTATGAGGTTTCCCTGTGAATGTTTGAGGGCATATATTGAGGCTGTAAGGTATTCAGAGGTTTACATATTGTGAGGTTATGAGGGCTACCTGTAGAGGTATGTGAAGTTATGAGGTTTACCTGTGAGGGTATGAGGTATGAGGTTATGAGGTTTACCTGTAAGGGTATGAGGCATGAGGTTATGAGGTTTACCTGTAAGGGTATGAGGTTATGAGGTTAGCCTGTAAGGTTATGAGGTTTACCTGTAAGGGTGTGAGGGTATGAGGTTTACCTGTAAGGGTATGAGGGTATGAGGTTTACCTATGAGGTTTACCTGTAAGGGTGTGAGGTTTACCTGTAAGGGTGTGAGGGTATGAGGTTTACCTGTAAGGGTATGAGGTTTACCTGTAAGGGTATGAGGTTTACCTGTAAGGGTATGAGGTTTACCTGTAAGGGTATGAGGTTTACCTGTAAGGTATGAGGTTTACCTGTAAGGGTATGAGGTTTCCAGAACCAGCTGTTAGAATCATCAGTAGGAATACTCTGCTCCTGTTGATCAGGACGCTCTGATTCTGGTAACATGGTCCTGATCCTATTTGTTTTATTGTAATAACGCTGATACTTGACACGTGTTTTATTGTACGTGTTTTAATGGTTTATTGTAATAACGCTTAAACACTTGATGATATTAGAATACCTTACAAGACGAGAAGGTGGGAATTCAGATTTTATATTTTTGTTGGGTGTGGAACAATATTTAAACTTATGTCTATGGTAAATGTCGGATTGAGCATCACAAAATCTGCTAAGAAATGAAAGTCACGTTCTTCGATTTATAAATGCGTTTTATAATTTTATTCTCAAGTTTACATTCTCGAATACAGATAATATTTTATACTGCCTCTAAATTCTTAAATATTATAAATAAGTTATAGTCTTAAGTCGTAAACAGAGCCTCAAAGTTTAATATAAGCAAAATATTACAAAAAATACAAAAACTCTATTCTCAAAATTTTCTGATCTTTTTACTTTGTACACAGGTCATGGTACAAATATGAAAAAAATCATGCCTACATTCTTGATTTTATTCTAACTAACCCTAAAGGCATCAGTATTTGTTAATCAACCCCAATTTAACTACTAATAAATTAATAATTGTAAACATCCACTAAAGAAATTTGATGATTACATCCAAACGCATGCAAAACTTTAAACATTAATAAGCGGCCTTAACGAAGTCACACTGTAACCAGTAAATAGCAATTTGGAAAGTAGCCGTCCTTGCCAAATCAACCTATTGATAACTTATATCTAACAAGATAAAAACGTCGACACGAACCGACAATTCAAATTAGCAATTCTCCGTTGCTTATGAAGCAGCTCATCCAATAACTAAGAAAATCATCACTGCTAATGAATATTCAAAACGTTCGAGAATGAACGAACGTTTATTATAAACTAAAGAGTTAAGCTCTCCAAGCAAATTAAGCAGCAAGCTTTTAACACTGCGATAGGAATGTTACCGATGATTCGCTATTGTTCTTCATTGCTACACACATAGGATAGTTAAAATAACACTACGTACGTGTACTGCCTAGCTGATAAACATGATGTTAAGCTCGTTTAAGAGTCGTAGTAGTTATAGTCTACTACTAATAGTAGTAGTTGTAGCAACCGAGGTAAATTCTTTAAGTGGCGGACCGCTAAATGGTCCACTAACTCGTATATAAGTATTATGCTATTATCCATTTTAAAGGACTCGTCGGTATACCTTATATTATAGATATATATAAGAAACATATGTGATTATGTGAGGGAGAGTAGGAATTGAGGCTTACTTCCAAGCTTAGTATCTAATGTCAGTGTTGGAGCTTAACATGAGAAAACATTTGAGGGGGTGCCAACCCCATCGATGCCTATGTCCATTTGACCAAAAGTTGAGGAATAAATGGCTAAAATGAGCATATAATTTTCACAATTTTTCGGTCAAAATTGAAAAACTAAAAACTTAATATTTCTGATACGTACCATACTCTAATACTCTATTGAGCTGAAATATAGCTGTATATTTTGCCATGTTGTCCAAAAGTTAAGGAATAAATTACCATACGAAGGGGAGCCTTAAAAACCTTGAAGAAATTAACCATTTAAGTTTTAGAATTAAAAACGGACTAATCTAAAATTGTATCCTGGGTTGCTCGAAATTAACTCGTAGACAATTTCAACAACCAAAATCGTTAAAACTTCTTCAAAACGTTAATTAATAAGCCTCAAAATAAACTGTAAGAATATCTCAAAAACCGAAAACGTAACACTTTTAAAGATCTAACGTAAAAACCACACCCCTTAAATCTACTTCAGATAAAATAGCAGGAGGCTAGGGTTCTCGAGGTAGCGTTTGAGGGTGTTGGAGTACCGAGCAACAGTAGCACCGTCCAGAACTCTGTGGTCACCTGACCAGCTGACACACATGGTGTTAGCAGCGTACACCTCACCTGCTGTGTTGAACGCTGGACGGGTCTGACAGGGCAGGTTACAAAGTTAGATAAGGATTTATCAATTTATAAAAAAATTAACCGATTATTCGCGATTTCAAATCAAATAATATATCCGATTCCGAATCATAAAGGAATATGGACTAAATGCTAAATAAACCTATAATATACAAGTCCAGTTCCATGCTAACCTGTATTTTGCCGAAAGCACCAATGCAGACCTCAGGTACCACCAACATGGGTGAAGCGTAGGTACCACCCACTGCTCCAACGTTAGAGAGACTGAAAGTTCCTCCTGTGACGTCATCAGCAGATAACTTATTGTTATTTCCTAAGGTTTTAAGTCGGTCCAGCTCGCTCGCTATGTCCAGGATTGACAGATTCTGAGGAGAGTGGAGATTAGATTTTATGACCTTACATAATTAAGATTTAAATGCTTAATTTATAATTTAGTACGGGTAAACCGCCCCTAAAATGTCAGCCACCCCTAAAACGCCACTCTTGATTGAATAGATCCCATCTTCTTAGAAAGTATCTTACCTAATCATTTGTAACTCCTAAACATAAAAAAATATCATTCAGACCCTGCCACATCCTGAAATTGAATCTAAATGATGCCATAAGGCCATTATTTTCACTTTGTACGAATTTTTTACTTTTGAAAAAAAGCGCACAATTTTATAACTCTGAAATTCATTAATATTAACTCAGTTTTGGTCTAGGATAGTGATATTTACATATTTTAGCAACTTTGTACATATGACTGGAGATATGGAAAGTTATACATTACTCAATATTACTACCCTCCCCTAAAATGTCAACTGGCCGCCCCCTAAAATGTCATTTTATCAGATTCTGGCTTTGAGACTACAAGCACCATAAAATGGAGGTACCAGCCTATTAAACATCATATTTAGCATCTAATGGTAATATTGGAAAGCTTTGGCAGCTCAAGGAATTAGTTTTATTTTATTAATTGCAATAAACATCCCCTAAAATGTCTAATTATCCCCCCTAAAATGTCATTTTAACCTGATCAAATTACTCAGGCTTTTCCTAAGATGCAATGCATACTCACATTTAGTTAATAGTTGATGTTAATAATTAACAAGTGCCAAAACAAGAGCTATTATCGCACACCATGCGAACAAAATACAAATTTGACATTTTAGGGGAGAAAAAAATGACATTTTAGGGGGCATATCATAGGTTTACCATAAACTAGTAAGTACCAAAAACCGTAGTTTTTGACATTCAATTTTGCTAAAAGCAGTCAAATCTAGTCTATAGAGAAGGTCAGATCGATTACTGGGTTGGCTTAGTTAACTACAGGTCACTAAAATTGCCAAAATGCAGGATGATGTTAAAAATCCCAAAAAATACAATTAAAACATGCAATTTGCACAAGGTTAAAATCACATTGAATCCATTTCTTTTGTGCCAATGCAATGGTTAGTTTATAACTAGATAATCTAACTACAGGTGTAAATTTTGTTGACTGAGTTACTGTTTTGCCGTAAGTTCTGGGTATTCAAAAAAAAGTCCCCAAAATGTCACAAAAAGTAAATTGACTAAAATCCACCATTTTTTTTCAACAGAGAGAGAAATTCTGGTCGACACCTCTCAGAAATAGGTTATATTTGTTCCAGAAGTGGTTAAAATTAATAATTGAGCAACATTCTGAGTGCTACACAACCTGTTTTAGCTGACGTTTTAGGGGTGGTGCACGTGACATTTTAGGGGGTGATTACTGTTTTGAGGTACTTCCTTTAGTGAGTGAATGTTTTCAAGTAGCTTAATGTTTTAATAAGACAAAACAAATAGTACTAGTGACAAAAGATAAATCAGGCCTCCTGTACATTTTGTAATTATCACACATATAGAGTTGACATTTTAGGGGTGGTGTTTTAAAAGTGACTCCATTTCAACGTCCAAAAAATTGTACCTGATTTTATTTTCAAATTTCCAAATCTTCCTGGCAGGCTAGAAAAAGGTTTAAATATTATTCCTAGACACTTCAGAACCCTGTAAATTTAGCCCTAACTCGGCAATCTGGGCTCAAAAAACAGGTGACGTTTTAGGGGCGGTTTACCCGTAATATGTTCCGATATGTTTTGTAGTATATAGTAGTATAATAGTGACATGTTTTGTAGTATAAAAGTCTTCAGAGGCTTGAATATGTCATGTAGGGGGGTATGTTTTTAATGTCGAAGGTAAAAACCCGATGTGACAATATGACCAAATTAACCAGATCGGACTACGAAAATAACGAACCTGAACATTCTTGATGTTAGGAACCATAAGTCCATGTGGAGTATCAGTAGCAATACCGATATTGTGGGACGCTTTGTAGGTTATAGCGGTGCAATCAGAGTTAACGTGAGCATTGACCATGGGGAAGTCAGCCATGGCTTGTGAGGCAGCCTTTATCAGCAGTGGCATGAAAGTTAGCTTGATCTTGTGCTCTTTTCCCAGCTTCTTTATCATATCTTTCAGTCTGAAGTGGGAAGTTGTTAGCTCATAACGAGGAATTATATTGTGGTCATTTGTTAAAGTGCCACAATCTGTTTAGTGAAGCTACAATGGTCATGATGAAATTATTTGCGGTAAAAGATAAAAAAGTGGTCGTCTACGCAGCCCACCCCCCCCCCCCCCGGCCCCTCCCATCTACCCCCTCTACCAAGCAGCCCCCCTTCTCCACCCTCTACTTACTGCACAATATTGTCCATGGAATACTCGTCGTGGTATGTAAATCTGGGGACCTGTTGAGCTGCAGACATTGTCTTGACCATCACCTTCGCTATTCCTGGCAACAATAGTGTGTGAGTGACAAACTGTCAATAGAAAAAAACGGGATTTTTAATTGAATCGTATTGACAGGGGAGGGGTTTATTAACGATCTATGATTTTTGGAAAATACGATCGTCTCTCTCCCCTCCCCCTCCCAAATGCTTCTTATTTTGCACGGATGTTTGGAGTTTGGAGATGTTTTGGGAAAAGCAACTATCAGATTACCTTGACTTATCTCCAAAAAACTATCAAACCTTTAATATCAACAACAGTATCCTCAGACTGATTGCCTCCTCCCATCAGTTGAGATGTAGGAGATGAGTTCCAGAATTGAGCTGTGGGTATTGTGGCTATGGGGGCTGGCTCCCTTCTTACAAGCGGCTCCTGAGGGATACATCCTCAGTCAATACTTTGTAAGAACTTCAATTGTTAACATAATTAGACCTACTTAGTGCTTATACAGCTAGTTTATAAACAAGAATAAACTATAAACTATAAACTATAAACTATAATATAAGTAATAAGCTAGAATATAAATATATTCAATACCTGAGAAACTTGTTCGGTTGCTGACCCGGCTGAAGCAAGGTAGTTCAACAGATCATCTTTAGTGATTCTACCACCTTTACCACTTCCTGGCACTAAAACCAAATCTACCTGGAACAGTTTTAATATTCGTCAACGTGAACATCCAGTATCCATGCCTAATTCAATAATCTATGATTTTAAAAACCTATAAAGATAAGGGTAGAACATGTTAAAAATGTAAGATTCATAGATGGAATTTCATAAGACAACCCCTTTGAAGGGAGACACATTTCCAACCCAAAACTTAACTAACCTTCTTATCAGCAGCTAGTTTGCGCACAGCAGGAGTAGTAAGGATCTCTCTTTCAGGAGCCGGGGTAGCAGGTGTTGGAGGGGGTGGGGGTGCAGCGCTCGGTGTAGCGCTCGGTGTAGCACTTGAGGTAGCGCTACCTTGGGTCTGGATTGGCACTGGGACTGTTTCAGAAGAGGAGTTGGAAGGCAGCACGTTCTCTGCTTCTAAAGTAATTGATGCTATTTCTATGTTAATTTTAAAATGGTGAGTCACCTGTCACAGCATTTTGCCTTGAATTTAAATGACGGGACGCTATTTCGACCGTGCTGATTTTTGAAGTTATTTTATCTAAGTTAAATAATAAATAATGTAGACTAAGTCACTAAGTAGCTGGTTAAATAATGAACCAAAAAAAAGGTGATAAAACATTTCTTACCTTCGTCGGACACCTCTATATCCACAAGAGCCTGACCCACCTTGCAGATATCCTCCTCCGCAAAGTGCACAGCACGCACAATTCCATCATATCTACAGGTTATTGTAACTGTTGCCTTGTCAGACTGCACCTCACAGATGTTATCAAACTGGGCCACTTCGTCCCCTACATTCACATACCTGGAATTGTTTTGTCTATTAGTATTCAGTTGCAGTGATCCTAGTTTATTAACACGTTACAGCACACGTTCCGTGCTATTTACTGTGAATTCAGTAGCTAACAACTGAAATGTAAATCGGAACAACCCACGTACAATATACAATATACATGATATATCGAGTTACGGTATATAATAGAGTTAGTGAGGAGCTAATCTCATTTCCAAAACCGCTATTTTTCCAAGGATAGCCGAATCATTGAATATTTGTGGAGCGCTACACTGTGGAATATCAGTACTCTTGCAATAGTATTATACGTAAAATTACTAGAAACATACCATTCTTTGATAGTGACCTCAGCAATACCCTCTCCAATATCGGATAGTTTAAAGGGAACTACTGTAGCGTTGTGTTGTGGTACTGAAGTGTGTAAGTCACGTGATGGGCACGGCACAGGACTGCTCACTACCGTCTGAGAACAGAAACACTCGTCAAATATAGTAATTTCCATATTATACAAGCGTTTAGATTTAATGAAATTTATATTTAATGAAATTTGAGGATTGCAGCTATAATGTTAGTCACCCTAGAAACCGTCAGGATTCTCCGATACACTACTATTAACAATAACATAACCTAGTAACCTGGTAACTTAGTGACCTAGTAACCTGGTGACCTAGTAACCTGGTAACCTGGTAACCTAGTGACCTAGTAACCTAGTAACCTGGTAACTTAGTGACCTAGTAACCTGGTGACCTAGTAACCTGGTAACCTGGTAACCTGGTAACCTAGTAACCTGGTAACCTGGTAACTGTAGAATGTAACTTACGTGTCTGGCACGTTTGACAGGACAGTGAGTAGCAGGGTGGGCTACATAACACTTACTACTCATGTTCTGGACATGGTAGGACCTCTGCAGCGTCGGCAGAAGTTGTAACGTTCTTCTAAAGGCTGACATCTACTTAATAAACTGTTAAATGAGCTATATGTTCCAACACAGGGTAAGTATTTGGACTACGAGATTATTTTAAAATGATATGATTTGAAGTGAATCTTAAAATTAGATTTGAAACTAGAATGCTTTCTCGTTTATTTGAAGTTGAATTTATGTTTGTGTTACTAGGAACACTTACATAAATTATAATTACACGATAAATTATTTCACAATCTTGAAGTAAATGTGGGTTTTTGAAGTTATCATCAGTTCTACAAATTCAACGTTCAACGCTGCCCACATGCACATGTCCTAATTGTATAAAACATCATTTAAACATCAAAGGATCAGATTGCACAATTTATCACAAGTCAACTTTCGAGATTCTTATCTTGTCAACATTTAACCAAGTGCAACTCTCAACTAAGTGTCAACAACTGAATCTCACAGAGCTTCATCTTACTCTCAACCAAAGTAACCACTCCATCTATCAGAACCAAAGCAACCAGGTAAATATTATTCTGATCACTGAGAATATGTTCACGAGTCCCATTTGCTCTTCTTCTCATAAGAATACGCCCCATCCTCTGAAGTCTGAATCATCCCTGTCTTTGGTGTATATTTCCTCCACTGATATAAATAGGTACAACAGCAAACAAACGTAGTCGCGCCAACAATCATGATAAACTTGTTGGGGCGCGCGTACAGCTCAAAGTTAGTGAAGCGGAAGAGTGTAGTTGAACGGGCGGCTGCTATTCCTGTACGTGGTTTGAGAGGTTCGTCAAGGGGAGAGGTTTTCTTTGGAGCGTCTGCCATGATCGGTATTTAGATGGTATTTAGAAGAAAGGGAGGGAGAGTACCAAGTTGATAGGGACTTAAGAACGGTTAAAAGTCTAGATTCTTAGATTTCTTAACACAGGTTTCAGCTGGCACTTACGTTCATATTATCTTGCGCTGCCGGCTACGTAGATTGTGCAGGTAAACTAATCACAACTTATATGTATAGGTAAAATGATATCATATGTAAAATGAGGTAATAGGTATTATTATAAACAGAATCTCACATAACACGATGATTGAAATAACTGTAACTAATGCAATTTGTGCCCTTATAATGGATTGTTGATTGTCTCAACATTTATTACTATTCGGTTTAATATCTTAATATGAGGTCGATAGATAGTAGGTTATTACATAATATGATAAGATAGTATGATCAAGCTTTTATATGTATTTATGTTGTTCACAACGTTTGAATAAAACTAAGTGAATATATTCAATAAGCATTGCATGATGAAATATATCAAAAAACCTCATTTCAAATCTAAAATTCCTAAAAGTAAATTATAAAGAATGATAAATTGTAAACAATATAATTTAACTTGAAGCGTTAAAAAACGTTATGTATTCAAAACGAAATATACATGATAGTCAAACCATGTAGAAATTCTAGTAAAGCTTTAAAACATTTAGCCAACTCTCAAATGTACTATAGAACATTAGCAAACTCAATTTAAATAGTATTTTGTGTTTTCAGATCCTTGAACTCGGCGCTAAGAATCTTCATGAGGTCTTTATGAGGGGTCCGAGGAGGTTGATTCTCTTTAACCTGGCTAAAACGAGTTTTAACAAACTCTGTCCACTTATTAGGGGTCTTGCCTGGAGTCTGACTTGTATTTGGTAATGTCAATCTGAAATGAAATTTAGCGTTAATCTCTAAGTGGGCGAGAATTTAGTCAGCAAATAAGTTGGACTAACAAATAAGGCCATGGCTGGGTAACAGATAACATGCTAATCTGTGTCTAGAGACATTTAATACCATAATATTTAAATAATAAAACTCCATCCACATTCCACATTTAAAAGTATATTATTTAAATAATAAAAGTGCAGATCTACCTGCTGTAACAGAGAGGGCACCTCGCTCTGTCCAGATCCACACTCTTACTATGCCTCCCAATAGTGTAATTACACCACCCCTCACTACACTTGTAGTTATACTTGTACTGTATCTGGTAGGAGTGACAGCGCGACACTGGCGGTAGTTCCGGGTATTTGGTGTTCACGCGCCGCGCCCACCGCTTCCACAGAGGGCCGTGGTTATCCTGGACAGATGGGAATATTAACTTGACTGATTTAGACAGAGATATTCGTATGATTGGATAAATAACGAACAATATAATCAACAATGCCAGAGCAAGTATCAATCGCAAAAGCAGAGGGCTCGTATAACAGACTATGTTTCCTAAGCAAGAGCCGTGCATGACATATCACACAGCATTTAATACTAATAGTTAATAGTACTATGTTTACAGCTTTTAGCAACTATTAAAACTCACTATAACTAATCAGTTGTATCTAACTCTTAAAACCACGTACGAAACTCCACTAAAACCACGTACGAAACTCCACTAACCACGTACGAAACTACACTAACCACGTACGAAACTCCACTAACCACGTACGAAACTACACTAACCACGTACGAAACTCCACTAACCACGTACGAAACTCCACTAACCACGTACTAAACTCCACTAACCATCTTCTTGTCGATGATGAAAGTTGCAGCATGACACAGCTCGTGCGCCAGAGTTTCCTTCAATCTCTCTAAACAGTCCACTACTTTGGGGGATAGCTCTATGTGTGATTTATACTGTTCACCTTTACGCATGTATACACACCGTCCAGCTGTCGTGTTCAATCTGGGAGTCAGGATTTATTGATGTTGTTAAATATATGATTAGCATTATAATATCAATATAAATCAATATAAATTGATGTAGTATGCTATTGAGGCCCATGCCACCCCATCGCGGGTTTACTACTACCATTATTAGTCAGAAAACAAGTTTAAATAACAAAAGTGGATCGTTTGTAAAATATATACGTTACCTTTTGACTATTATCTAATGTTTTTTATTGTCAAGCACAAGCAATGCAAACATTATACAACTTATAATCAGCACATATTTTCGTCTACATAACTTAATTTACATCAAAAGTAATTCCCCACATAGATGCTGTTTTAATTTGATTCTAACTCTAATTCTAAAATGATAAGTTATCATATTAGGATGGAAACCCACAAAAGGCACAAAAAGGCACCAACCTTTTGTTGACCTTTATCTCCAGATCAGAAGGGAGCTCATTATTAAAGACAAACTCGTTAAACTGTTGGAACAGTTCACGTGCTGCAGTAAGAAGGTTCCTGTTGTAGGTTCTGTTGGGTTGACCTGGGGTTCCTGTCTTTGTTTTTACTGAGAGGGGCATGGCCAGGCAAGTGCGGCGTCTGAGGTGAATAGTTGGTTATTGATCAGAAGACGTACATGCTGCGTTTATTTATTGGAGCTTTAACTTATTGATTAGATAATCAAAACTTTAGGGAAAAAACTCAATTTAATATGAAAATCAAAGTTCTTAAAGACAGTATTACCGAACATTTTTAGCAGCAGGCGTACTCGGGCTGTGACAGAAAGAAGTTGGTGTTTTATACAAATTAGTTGGATTATGGTTAGGCATCTTAATATCCGTCCGGGTAGTAAAAAATGGAGTTTCCTTAATTGCAACATTTGGTTGACCTGGTGTCTCATAATCGTCATCTGAAGAAGAGTCTGGTGTCTGGACACCTTTGAATGCACCACCATCGTCACTTGCAGAGGAATCAGAAGTTAGAACACCTCCATCTTCACTGCCAGTTTCGTCTCCTTCTAAAGCTTCATCATCTATAAAGCTATTTTCATATTCCTCATCATCTGATAAAATGTAGTTGTTGGCTCTAATTTCCTCGGGATAAGACTCGTTGATTTCTGATACAGTTGATACATCAGCTTCTTCCTCTTCGTCTGAAGATTCTAACATGTTCTTTCTCCCACCTCTTCTGGCTGGGGCTGCAAGATCAAAACCGTCTTCATCACTCTCTTTTTTTCTTCTAACATTTTCTGTGTTTATTTGATTTGGTTTGCTGAAGGAGTTCTCTCTTGAACTCTCTGTGAACTCAAGTGACAAGTTTTTGTTTTTAGGAGACTCTGGTAGATCGAAGCTTATGTCAGGGGACGATAAGTCCAGCTGAGAGACTTCATTTCTGAAATGTTCACTGTAACTTCTTGGTTTGCGGCACAAAATTTCCTCAGATGGGGGTTTTTCAGGTGACTTTTTAACAATAGAGTTCTCTCTGGAGCTATCTGTAAGGACAAGTGACAAATTACTGTTCTTAGGAGATTCTGGGAGGTCAAAACTTATATCCGGAGATGACAAGTGCAAATGAGAAACCTCACTTCTAAAATGTTCACTATAACGGGAAGAGGAGAGTACTTTGTTAGATGGAACAGACTTATCATCAATAGAGAGATTCGAGAGATTCTCTTTATCTGAATCCAAAGTGGATAGGTTTTTAAAACTATCGTCTTTATCTGAATCCAATGAAAGATTTTTGAAGCTATCTTTGTCTGAAAAAGAGTCATTCCCCTCACCAAGGTTTAAACTAGACATCTCAGATCTGAAAAACTCGCTAAATCTTTTCTGCTTGAGACCGGAGTTGTTTACATTTAGGATATTGGTTGCAAGAGGAGAATATCCTGATCTCCTAAGAGAATCAACCGACAACTTGGGGGCTGTTCGAAGTTTCCGTTTAGAATTTACACTGTATGCCGCAGGTCTAAGCTCAAATTCTTCAAATGATAATGAGTAAGCTATGCTTATATTGGAGTCACAGCTTGAAATATTTGATGAGTTTGCATTGCTACCATGCTCATTAAGTGAGGACGGTTTAGGAGAACTTGTATTATCTATAGAGAGATCTCCAAGATCTAAACTCAATGAACCAAGGCTACTTCCACCAGGGCTAAAGTCTGATAGATTGTTCATGGCTGCCACGGTGTGCAACACCTAGATCGGAACATAATGTTAGTTATTTATCTTGGGATAAAATACCGTTAAAAGTTTAATTTTAACAAAAATGTCGGAAGAAACTTTTAGAGACTTGAACTGTTCGCAGAAAATTTTGTATTTTATAAATTATAATTTCAAGGATTTAAATAAACGTATAATGTTCTGTATAAATTAATTTTAAAAGTTTACAAGCAGACAAGAATAAAACACAAATTAGCAATAGATAAAAACAACTTTTAAGTTTATGCCTTGGAGGCTTGAGCCTTCAAAACTTTAGCAACGATCTTCTGCTCTTCGATAAGGAAAGCTCTGATAATTCTGGACCTTACACATCTTCCACATTTAGAGCCACCATAAGCTCTATTAACGGTCTTCACACGCTTAGACAGTGAAGCTAACTTGACAGGTCGTACAGCAGGAATTCCTCTTAAACCTTGTTTGCAGTCCCCACATTTGCTAATGTTGGTCTTCTTAGTAGCGTAGTGATACACAAGTTTGCCACCTGGGGTTTTGGTAAAATGTGTCTTATTGCTTTTGGTGTTATAGGACAGGCGGCGTCTGTATGTTACTCTGTTGAGGACCATGATGTCTTGTTAGAAGCTAGGGGTTAATGAGAAGTGGATTAGTATAGGTCTATAAATTCATTATAGGTATGAAAACGAATGCGAATGGTAATGATACAATTATTATTTATTACCATTTATCAATTTACTAAATTTTAAAATGTCGAAATTATTCTTCTTGAAGTAGATCACCATTAGGTATTTAATGTGTTGGATATAATTGGGAATTAATGAATAATGAAGCAGTAAAACAAAGCTAGATGATTACTAACAAAAGGTGCAGTGCAACCAAATTTTATCAATTGAAAACCAAATTAGATATTTTAACCTAGTGCCTTGGAATAAATTAACGTTTCAGGTCACGACTCGACTTGAGCGATAGGAGTTATAAATGTAACTAAGGAGTTGATTATCTTGACCACTAAAAGGAGTATAAATGAGCAATTACAACGATATCAGTGATGACTTCAATATTAAATCACACAAGTAAACTTAACATTTGTTCATAAGTCTGTACAATGGAAATGATTGTCCAATAGTTCTAAACTAAAGTTACTGAACTTTATCTTTTTGGTCATTGTACCATTCAATCAGGATCTCATTATCAAAATCCTCTTCCGGATCCATGGGGATTGGAATGTCAGTGTAAACTACGTTGGCACGCATCTTAGCCAAATGTTCTGTATTCATGAATGATGAAGGGTTGTGGGTCATCATACGCTTCAGGAAAGGAAAACAGTAGTACATTCCTCCAGCAACAGCGGCAGAAATACCAAGAGTGCCATACATGGCAATCTTTAATTCTTGTTTAGACATGCTGAGAAAAAATACATGTTTAGTGTTTTTTATTTTAAGCACTGATGAAACACTTAATCAAGACTTTTTGAACTATGATCTGAGCAATCAATGGTGTATAAACTTCAAACAACATAAATTAGTTATACATCGAATGAAAAAGTACAACAACAGAATCATCCAGGTGGAAAAAGGCACCTTTACCCCACTTATATACTCAACAAATGGTGGATGGGGTCCACAAGCCACAAGATACCACAAGAGACTCGCTAAAACTATCCCAGAAGAGAGGAGAAGACTATGCGGCTATTATGTGTTACATGCGCACCAGGATTAGATTCTCAATCCTCAGGAGCACCCTGATAGCGGTCAGGGGTGAGAGAGGGAGACGGCAATCGTATACATTGCCAGTCAGTGTAACTTCGTTTAACTTGATACCTGCCACCATGGACTATGAATGTTTCTAGACACTATCCTTTTGATATTGAGATATTGGTATCTCAGATCACGTGTACATCGTTCCTTCCTTTTTTATGTTATACATCGAATAATGTCAAAAATCATTGATAATGATATGCAAATGGGAGAACTGAAAAAGAAAATACTTTCTTCAAGAGGTTAGCTGATAAAATGTCTAGAAAATGAGGTCGATATACAGGAGATAAAAGATTGATTGAAATAAATTTTCGTGCACATACAGAATGAATGGTTAATAATTTAATATATATGTAGACCAAGGTCTGTGCACGGGATGCTTCCTGGAAGAATCCAGTTCTTTTAGCGGGGCACCCTACCTAAAGCCAAATTGAGATATAATAATCATATTCCTAGAGAAATAATCAGAAATCGAGTACCAATCAAATAATATGATATATAGGAGTAGTAACCATATTTACTATGCAAAATGCCCCAACCACATAGTGTAAATTTATATAGAATTCAAATTCCATATCATCATTAAACCTCAATAGTCAATATAATAGCCCAAGCAAAATTAAATAACTTCCTATATACCTTACTGTCATACTACAAATTAATTAAACATTTGAAATCTGTTAACCAGAGAATAAATTTCTAAACCTAATGCAAGTGAAATAATTTAGATGCAATAATGAATGCCTAATGTGAGTATCATCTGTCAATGTCCTTGTAAAAAAGTCTGTAAAAGAGATATGAGTAACTAATATAGAAGAAAAAACAGGAAGTTGTCATCTGTTGAAAAATAAATAAAATATCTAGAATATAAATTAGAATATAAAATAACATTCAGTCAATGTGTCGTCAATTAACTGTACAATTATCAAATGTTAAAACTGGGTGATACAGTCACCAAAAATAAATACTAAGTATAATAAGTTAATAAATTAAATGTGGTCTATAAAACTACCACTAGGTATAATAGGTCAATAAATTAAAAGTGGTTTATAAAACTACCACAGTTAAAACATGTCAGTCATGTGCAAAATCAATCAAAATGGTAAGGTGGTAAAAAAGGGAAAATCCTTTCGATACATCAATTATATATGCCTCAGATTTAAAAGAATTAGAAGATACTTAGTTATCGTCGACTATGATTGCAGTGTAAAATTTGTCATATGAATAGTCGACGGTATAATTAGGGTCTGTTGTTATAGATGAGAGTAGCTGTTTCTTATACGAATCACTAAAGCTTTTAACATCGGGCAGATTTCGTAGATCTGTTGGAACATTATTCCAACATTTTGCCCCCAAGTATTGAAAGTTTTTATGTGATGTTGATCTATTGACATATAGGTTGCAGCTTTCGCCGCTCCTACTACCTCCTGATATGTAACTAAATTTGTTCATAAAGTTTGTAGGACAATTGTCATGGATGATTCTAAACATATAATTTGACAGATGGAGTTGTCGTCTAAGATGGAGTGGTAACCATTTCATGTCTCTATAAACATTAAGGCTGCTCTCTGTTTGTGGAACGTTGAGAGCTATTTTGGCTACCTTTTTGTACAGAGTGTCAAGTTCAGCAAGTTTTGTCTTGCCAGCTCTACAATAGATTGTGTCTAAATAATCGAATTGTGGCAACATGAGTGCATTGGCAAACATTTTCCTATATTTAATGGGTAGCAGTGCTTTACTTCTATACATTGCACCAATTCTCTTCATGACCTTCCTAATAATATAATCTACATGGCTTTTGAAGTTTAATTTACTATCTAGAATGAGGCCAAGATATTTTGTCTCTTTGCACTCCTTGATTGTGAAAGTTACCTCATTACATTCAATGGTTAATTCATCATGTTGATCAACAGAATCAAACAATAGGAATTCAGTCTTCTTTTCATTGAGTGATAATTTATTTACACTGAGCCATTTAAAGATTGTCATAAGTTCTATTTTCATGTTTATAAATGTGCTTCTGCAGGTTTGATCAAAGAATAGTGCACCATCATCTGCAAATAGAAAGGGCTTAGATAGGTTACAGGCATAAATGATGTCATTTATGAAGATACTAAATAATATAGGCCCAATGATGCTTCCTTGTGGTACACCACTCAGAACTTCTAAAAATGAACTTAGTTTGCCATTGATCCTAGTGCATTGATATCTACAAGATAAGAAGTTCTTAAACCAGGTTAAAGCAATGCCACCAATTCCATATAATAATATGCCAATTTTTAAAGTAATATTTCATGATTCACTGTGTCAAAGGCCTTCTTAAGATCAAGAAAGATGATTCCTGGTTTATAAGACTTAGATTTACTCATATATATTTCGTCCATCAGATCGTACATCAAATAAGTTGTGGAGTGATTTTTCCGAAAGCCATATTGATGCCGGATGAAAGAAAGATTAAAAGAGATAACAGAAATTAATGGACGGCAGACGAGTGAAATTTAAACAATAATATTACTATGTACACATCACTCAACTAATTGTTCAACTCAGTTTTGTCTTGGAATCAAATCTAGGAGACCTCAAAGCTCGTCTTCTGGGGGATGAAGTTGAAGGAAACGTCTTGCAGTTCAAGATGCTGGGCTGTAGATCTGCAAGTTAAAATGACCCTCAATACAAGTTAAAATTACCTCATATACAGCGAATCCCTTTAATTTGATTAAGTAAAACAACATTTTTAAGTAAGACAAAATTTAAATTTTTACAGGACACACCTTCCTTTCTTTTTTGTTATTGTGATTAAACTACATTTTAACCGGGTTACCTTTTCCAGCCATTACCAAGATACAAAAGTACAAAAGTGATACTTAATTTATTAAGTTCACAATAGTAGAAATCCTAAAATAATTTTAGTTAAAAACTATTAATTCCTACAAATATGCAAGAATAATTTGTTATAATATTACAATGGCCCTATATAAAAGTACAAATCTGAGTAACAAAAACCCTTAAAACGTGAAAACTGGCCACGGGCCTAAAGATTACATATCAATCAATTACACACCACCAACGATGAAGACAGGGGTGATGATGTTGATGATGAAGATGATGAAGTTGATGATGAGGCTGTGAATGTAGAGGAAGAGGTTTCAGAAGAGTGAGCTGAAAAGAAGACAAGTTTCTATTCTAATTTATTGATTATTATATTTATTGAAATAAACATATAATATCCATTACTCCAGGAGTGATGACAGGATATGTGTATCAATCAATTACAATTCATTAACATTACCAATATTAAAAACTGTCCAAAATATCTAAGAAAGTATTCTCTAGCCAAAGGGCTCAATATTTAAATCTAAATCTTCAATATTTTCAGTTTTAAAACCCTTAAAACTGAGGAACATTAATTATCAAAGAAACCTCTTCACCCCTTTTCTCCTCTAAGAGCAATAATTATTATTTATTAATTATTCAAACAATATACACATAATATAGCAATTACCCTATATAAAATCAACCCTTTAAGAATTCAAAAAATTCCCTTAACAATTAAAAATTACCCTTGGCCTTAGTGTTCTCAATGAGTCAAATCTTATTATTTTCCTGATAAATTAACTATTATAAATGTCATCGCATCAGTGTATTATTGACCTAATTTTCTAAATAGTTCATCAGCTAACTTTTTAAAGCAAGTATCAGCTTTTAAAAAAATTCCATGTTATATTATGCTAATATAAAAATAACTTGGATTTATAAGATTCAATTTGATTTTGTGATTCTTAGATCCTTCAATGACTTATTTAAACATGTTTTTTAGAAGGCTATGACGTTTGACGGATGTTACTCGTCTAAATTTCTTCGAAGTAGCGCGCGCCGCTTTCTTCTCGAAATGTTACGGCAAGTGCTACGAAGTAGCGCGCGCCGGGCCAGATCATTAACAATGGTCAACTATGACGTCAGAGGGCTTATTCAAGACCCTATTTTTAAAACTTTGACCATTGTAAGATTATTATTGTAATTATTATTATTATATTGTATATGACCTACTTCGCGCGCCGAGTTGTATTGAACTTGACGGATGTTACTCGTCTAAATTTCTTCGAAGTAGCGCGCGCCGCTTTCTTCTCGAAATGTTATGGCCCGATGGCAAGAGCTACGAAGTAGTGCGCGCCGGGCCAGATCATTAACAATGGTCAATATTGAACTCGTTGATCAATGTCCGGTTTTGAACATTTGAAACAAATATTTAACGACGCGACGATCGCTTATTATATATGATAAAATGTAACCCCAATTTTGACATTAACGGGTGATACTCGTAAAATATCTGTTCCATATATCGACGAGTCCAACTCGGTGCGCGTCCTTGTAAACCTAAAATTTTGACACACAAGAACATGATAGCCTGGGGTCCCAGGTAATATTATATGCGTTGTCGGTTGTACGTGATTCGGCATCCATATATAATATAGTCTGTATGCGCGGGTGTCAATTGACCGCGCGCGACCATGCGCTACCCTCGATGATTGGTGTGGTTATTAATGTTTTGTCTTCGCGCGTTCCATAATCAGTCATAAATCACGTGCGAATGTCTGGGTCATTGCCAAAAATAATTGGTCATATGTTTTTCACAAGTTAAAGGCAAACCTTTAAATTACAAGAGAGCATTCATAATTTGAATAACAGAACAAACAATCAAAAACTCATGATCGTGAACGATAGATTTAAAAGCAGAATTGAAAACATTGTTTTTGAGTGATGCATGGGACGAAATAATTATTCGAAATAATTGGTGAAATCTCGTTAAACATGTGATAAAAACGTTTCAAACGATCATAATAACAAAAAATAAATGCTTCCCGTGAGATAATTCATAATAGGGATAATTTAATTCTTCGATTGAGCTAAACTTTGTAAAATGTAGGACAAATAATTTAGTTAAATAAAGAAAAAAGGGTTTTTAAAAGAGAAGATTTTGTTTAGTAAGTAGCGTTTTGTAAAACATGCAACAGATAAGATTGTTCGACTTTAGTCCCAGAAAAATACAACGAACAATTTCTCATAAGAATTAAGTTAAAGAATAAACTCACACCAATTTATGGGACAGCAAAAGCGGTATCCACTCTTCAGGTTGATATATTATAATAATATGAACGCGGACATATCATTTTCGCTTTAAAAATAAGATTCTCAGGGTAGCGTTTTCTAGCGAAAATAAGGAATACGATACACTTTTACTAAATTAGAACAAAATTGGTCACATTTTGCACTCATAAAATGAGATAAGCTCAAGATTAAAACCTGAATAGTACACTTATCTTTCGATAGCGTCAAATGACTCATAATATTGCGATATGGAATTGAATTCTGCAAAAAGTTGATCGCTAAATTAATGCAGTTGACAGCAAGACTTCACATATTTCAGTATTGTACTGTGACAATGAATGGCCACCTAAGGGCACATCAATATTTATTACAATAAAGCCATTTCACGTTAATCTTGAATTGACACAATAAGCATATTTTAAAATTTTTTTTGGTCCCGCCGTTCAGTTTTTTATAATTTAACAATTCATCGACAAATAGAAGACAATATTTAAAAAGTTAAAGATAAATCGGTAAACACAGACGAATAATCCAATAATTGGAGTTATCATGATTAAATATACATAGTGCAGAAGGTTTTTCAAATAACTAAATACATCCAAAATATCAAAGTTGATAATTCTTGGGCCGATACTCCAATTTTCAAAATCAATCTCTAAGAACTCCCCCGATATTGCACTATATTAATGAATGTAATATGTATTATATTCGCCTGCATCAAAATCCATTAATGACAAGCTTCCACAAACTTAAAATATTTTTCTAACGAACTTCAACCTTCCGTATGATTTAACCATTTACCGCTCGATTTCTCCAGAATGGTGCGTGATGCTGTTACTTTAAAAGTGGCCATTATCCAATCCTGAATTTCTGGGGAAAACCCCTAGTTGCCGACACCTCAACAGCTTAATGTCATAATCGATGGACTGGTTTAATTAAAATCGGAAAATTTTGCCGAAATGAGATTCGCTTGACGAAATGATTTGAAGTGGTTACTTAAAAGCAGTGCTGAAACATACGTCATTTTAAATTTATAGATTTGTGGTTACCAATTCTTCTGGTTTGGCAGTAGCAGTAAATTATCCTTTAAGTGATTTAAAAATGGTGCCACATTCGAGCCAATTGAACGAATCGCTCATATTTTATACAGAAAACCATTAGTGCTGGCAGATGCGTTTGAGATGGAAGAAGTGGTGATTTTAGTGAAATTATCAGAGGACCATTTCATTTGCGAATATGATATTTCAAAAGTTATACAAATAAATCATTCACGTACAAATAAAGCAGGCTTTGCTTGAGGCAATCACAATAATATATACAAAAATAAACACTGTTTGTGAACAAGAGAATATATCCTGGACGTTAACTTAACATTGCAAGGAAGCAGCTGATAATGACTTGTTATCTATCAATCTGTATTAATAGTTTTGAGTGAATTGAGTTGGCCGAGATAGTTAGAAAATGTTTTAGTTTTTAGTGTTGCTGATGATTCAAACTTCCTATAAAAGCGATATAACATCATGATAATAAAATATATTAAAAAGCAATTTTTTATGCTCTAAAATTCAAACTTCCAGATTATGATAATGAGTTAAACACGTTTAAACACTGGGATGGCTCTCAAAAGGGTCGCGGGCTGAAGAGTTCCACAAAACCAATGATAAAACAACCATGTTTTATATAAAACATTACTTCTAACAATAAGAAATGTTGTTAGAAATAACATACAGTCCATCTTCCAAACCACAGTTTGCACATTAAAAATCAATGGCAGGTGAAATAGCAAACATGAGCTGTGCAGCGTAGTAAAGAGTGAGTCCGCAGAGGGAGTTTAGGAAACAGCGCTTGATAAAGCGTTGCCTCGCAACAAACAGGTCCGATACGTAGAAGAGGAAAGCTGCAGCGAGGAGCCACGTCTTACCGCTGTACCTGAAAAATGGTATTTGAAACAATTCAATTATAATAATCATTAATCATGATATATTTTTCAGTAAACATTGAATGGCACTACAGGCTAGTCCCCAATCAATCAGTGGTGAAGAGTGATTTTTCAGTTACATCTGGTTTTATATTTTTACTTAATTGTAGGTATTTCTGAGAAGACACTGTGTGGGGGAGATGACTATTTAGTGCCCTCCTTTATTGCGAAATGGCATAAATGGAACAATTCCACGAAGAAATAGAACAATCCACCGCATTCTACCTCGAGTTAATACTACCTTAACTACAAGAATTTAGAGTTGATAGATTACTGGGGACTAAATGAGAGTCTCAAATCACTCTAAAACAAATAACATCATGTATTGTCGTTAAGGTACATATATTATAGTATAATATTCGGTTAAAAGAGTTGAACTCGTGTCCTCTTGAATATTTATGTTAAAGGTCAGTATGCTAAAAAATACTCCGTTTTAAAATTTGAAAATCCTAGACAATCCCCCGAGACATTACAACATCTTTCATTGTACCAACAAAGTGGCGTCATTAAATTGGTTGATATCGAGACGGGCGAGACCATAAATTCGTGGGTAGAATTGCTACCAGCACTAATTATTAGAGTCGGAGTGACCGCATCTACCAAGAATATACCAATTGCGTGGCTTATAATCACTGATATATAATGGTTATATTTTATAACCATTTGAACCTTCTACCATTCCAAGCACTGCAGACAGATATCAGCACTTTTCTAAATTCGCGACTCATAAACCATTTGAACGTTTAACCATTTCCTTAAACGCTTGAATTCATCATTTTTCTAATCTTTAATTAAAGTATGGTGCCTTGTAAACCGTTTACACATTTTTCGTCGTATCTCACAAATCTCAATTTCCCGATTGTCTTCTGTTCGTTTTTCGGTAATATCATCAACGTTGCTCTCTGCAAGTCTCTGCTTTGCTGTGTTCCGGGGAAATTAAAAGAAAGACCTACCCATAACTGCCACTAGCAAAAGCCATCATCCAGGAGATAGCAATGGAGTAGGTTATCACTAGCTTCCTCATCAGACCCGTAGTGTAGGGTAGCACGTATCTGGGGTCACATAACTGTGTTAGGAATAACACGCTTAGTACAGTATGTGGTCGTAATATGTTATCTTCAATATTTATTAGCTTTATAAGATATTATCTCTCGGTACCGGATTCTCCACAGCTTTGGTGGATCTCAATTCTCGGAATTATTGGGCGCATTACTGACAATCTTCCACAAAGGAATAATCATCACATTAATAAGCTGTGCCCACTCAGATTAGATAAAAGTTTAGTTTAAACTTTCGCGAGTCAATACTTAAATAGTAGACTTTCGTAACGGTCACGACTTTAAAGTAAGAATTATTGAGCGCATTATTGACAATCTTCCACAAAGGAATAATCATCACATTAATAAGCTGTGCCCACTCAGATTAGATAAAAGTTTAGTTTAAACTTTCGCGAGTCAATACTTAAATAGTAGACTTTCGTAAAGGTCACGACTTTAAAGTAATGGGTAAAAGGAGGGGTGAAAAAATGGGTAAAAGGCAAACCACCCTCTCACAAATGACTTTATCTTTACACTTTCAGTTAAATCTCCTCGAACTGGTCGGGTGAGATGATCTCATGAGATTACGTGACATTCTCTCTCTTTTAACGGGTTCAAAGCACTAAGCTGTCACTTTAGCTCTCATTTGAGGGTTGTCCTGTCCAATAAGTGTTATAGTACCGGAGGGGGGTGCCAATATCGTGCCCTAGTTTACTTGGTGGCTGAAATCACGGCTATTTGAGGGGTTCGACGCTTTATCTAGGAGCCATGACAATGACTAGTTCTCTAATATTTTGTGATATTTTGTGATATTTCGAGAAAGGTCTTAAGAATCGTCTGCCACCGTCTTTAATTTAAGTCTATGTTTATTAATTGCAGTTTTCATTCGAGAAATAAAGTTTTATTACGTCACGCTGGAAATACACACAGACCGCTATCGTATGACCCAAAAAGGATTAATCGCACAGCTTGAACATAAAAAACTCATGTTAATATATTATTGTAACTGTCGAACCAATACGGTGAATGGGTTGATGCCATTATAACTTCAAATATATTTATAAATATTATACCTTTTCAACGGGAAATATATAGTATCTTTCCAATGAAAAGAAGTGGTACATGTACGGGGTAAATATCAATCATCCTTTTGGGAGGAGAGAGTTACTTTGTAGTTTGATATGTCTCTCCAGCCAGCTTGAGGGTGGAACAAATTAATGGTTTGTTGAGATTATCTCGCAACTTCGCAACCGTTTATCTTTACTTGGTGCGTTTGTTGATTTTTGGCTTATATAAATTTAAAAGGAGACCATTTTTTGTACGTGTGCAGTATAATATAATAATGTATATAGTTTTCTGTTGTTTGGTTGAATTCAAGATTTTAATAATAAGTAATTAATAAATTGTAATATTTAGGTGGCTTTTTATGGGCTTATGAATCCAACAAGAAATTTCGAGATCCTGGATAAAAGTTTTATTTGCCTCCCAAATCCGTGGACTTAATTCCTAACTCAGTTGAGACTGTGATTATTTCATTTCGTTGCGAACAAATAATATTTCCACATAAAATAAATAAAATAAGCGAATCACAGACAAATAAGTGCTAATATTGGGTTATGATTAACTAAGAGTATTAAAGGTAGCACTTTCATCATTTACAATCCTTTGCATGACGACACTTCGTTCCTCTGTAGAATCATCATCATGAAAGATGACGCTTCATATTTAGGGCCAATTTTCAATTACAGTACAACTTTTAATATCATCAAGACGTGGTCACACAACCCTACCTTACCCTCCAATAAAGGGCCAATACGAATCTTATATTATGAATGTAGAAATGACTTTTTTATTGAATTTTCTCCTCTGCAATAGTAGAGAACAATAGTAGAGAACAATATTCTGTATGTAGAAGATAAAATACAACAAAAAAGTCACGCTGTTCTCTACATCCGGAGTCATTACCAGTGTTTCAGTTCGTATGTAGTCGCAGCAGCGTTATCATGCTATTAGCGACTCAGTCATGTCTCACCATGGTCACTAAGTTCAAATATTATGCGGCCTCCTGGGTGGTCCGGTTATTCTTGAGAATGTTTTGGTTCTGCCGGTTAGTACTATTCCCCGCTTGGCAACTTTCCAAAGCCACTGTTATTTGTTAAATAATTTAAATGTTTAGCTCCTGGTATCAATTATACAGGGTGGCCCCAGGCCCACGATCAACAATCCCTGAATAACTAACTACAATCCCTGGATAACTACAATAATACTCTGCTCTCAGAATTGCATGTTCCTGAGTGCCCAGATTATCAGGACTTAATTTCGAAACAGCCGCCCCGAGTTATGGAAATTAGTCACATCATTAGGCAATGATACAGGCATCTTCCTTGAATAACCAACAACACGTCTTTGTATATTGTCGTTACAGTATTATAAACATAAGTAAAATGAATTATTGATCGAATACGGGCGATTTTAATACATAATACGGTAAGTCCTAGAACTCCTGAGTCGAATATATATATTATTTGAAACTGGTTACATCTGAGAGCAGTTATAATAGCACCCTCCTTTAGCAGTAGTGTAGTAGTGTAGTAGTGTAGTAGTGTAGTAGTGTAGTAGTGTAGTAGTGTAGTAGTGTAGTAGTGTAGTAATGTAGTAGTGTAGTAGTGTAGTAGTGTAGTAGTGTAGTAGTGTAGTAGTGTAGTAGTGTAGTAGTGTAGTAGTGTAGTAGTGTAGTAGTGTAGTAGTGTAGTAGTGTAGTAGTGTAGTAGTGTAGTAGTGTAGTAGTGTAGTAGTGTAGTAGTGTAGTAGTACTACTACTACACTACTAGTAGTATCACGGCTATAACAGATGGTATCATTGTTACAATATTGCTCTACACTAGCTATATTTCACTGCCAATTTATCTTAATATTTTCTCTCAATCTGTTTTCAACTCAGTAATACTTGAAGACGTTGTAACTATTCGGATAACCGCTAATCTCTTTGTCATTTTAAGTTATGTTAGTACTATCTAACTAACTAACATACTATTATGTTAGTACCATCGTACCTATTTTACTAGAAAGTATTGACCTTTGATCTTCTTATTATTATATTGGATACTCGAAGATGCGCTTATAATATCAAAACTAGCTGTAGCTGTATCTAGACATGTTGTCTTGTGACTTGTTGAATAATAGCCATTACTTGTCTTCATACATACCGTTAGGGAGAGTTTTCAAATTTATTGGAACTGAAAGTATAATTCACCTTACCATTTCATTAGGCTTAAATATTAATTATTTTGGAATTTCACCATAGTTCGCACAGTTTAAATAGTTAATCGTTCGATTAGTTAAACTGTTGAATTGGAAAATTGTGTGCTTCCCGACTTCCTCTTTGACTGTTCTCGCGGATATTAAATTGTTGGGTTGAACTGAGGGAAAAAGAAGTAGAGGGGGGGGGGGTTCAGATTTGAGACCTGTAACTTTGTAGATGATATAATGTTTTCAGGACAAGTGTATTTTTAAACGGAAAAAACGAACATCGTTATTATTTTATCTGATATATTTCTCGAATGAGTGATAATATCAAGTATCCAGTTACTGAGAAGTGAGAAATACGCCCCAAAGTACTGACTTTTGCCCCCCCCACATTTAGTTTCGAGAAGTTAACCGGGAATTCCGATTTAACGGAGATGGTCCAAACTACCTCCCCAAAATACCGGTTAAAATTTAATCGGAGGTTTTGCTATTTAAAGGTAATGTCTGAATATTTGTTGCAGTTCCTACTACAACAGTTGGCTAGGGTTCATTGAGCATTTTAAGGTTGCAAAGCGAAGGTTAGAAGGTACTTAGGGGACTACAATTTTCTTGGAACAGAGCCAGATTTGAAGTTAAAATTTCTTCTCTCTTTCTTTTGTTTAATGTTTAACGATTTTCCATTGTTGCCTGCCCGAAATTGTTGCCTATCCGATATAATTGAGGTCATTTGGCGCAAAACAACAATGCGCCAAATAAGATAAGCTAAACTCACTTGAATGCAATAATAAGATAAGCTAAACTCACTTGTATACAATAATAAGATAAGCTAAACTCACTTGTATAAATAATAAGATAAGCTAAACTCACTTGTATAAATAATAAGATAAGCTAAACTCACTTGTATACAATGATAAGATAAGCTAAACTCACTTTTATACAATTATAAGATAAGCTAAACTCACTTGTATACATAATAAGATAAGCTAAACTCACTTGTATACATGATAAGATAAGCTAAACTCACTTGTATAAATAATAAGATAAGCTAAACTCACTTGTATAAATAATGAGATAAGCTAAACTCACTTGTATACGATGATAAGATAAGCTAAACTCACTTGTATACAATGATAAGATAAGCTAAACTCACTTGTATACAATAATAAGATAAGCTAAACTCACTTGTATAAATAATAAGATAAGCTCAACTCACTTGTATAAATAATAAGATAAGCTAAACTCACTTGAATGCAATAATAAGATAAGCTAAACTCACTTGTATAAATAATAAGATAAGCTAAACTCACTTGTATAAATAATAAGATAAGCTAAACTCACTTGTATACAATAATAAGATAAGCTAAACTCACTAATATAAATAATAAGAATTAAGATAAGCTAAACTCACTTGTATACATAATAAGATAAGCTAAACTCACTTGTATACATGATAAGATAAGCTAAACTCACTTGTGTACAATGATAAGATAAGCTAAACTCACTTGTATACAATGATAAGATAAGCTGAACTCACTTGTATACAATGATAAGATAAGCTAAACTCACTTGTATACAATGATAAGATAAGCTAAACTCACTTGTATACAATGATAGCAGCTGGCCCAACCACCACTATGCTCATCAGAAACCACTTTATGGAGATCCCTGTCGTGATAAAAGCGCCGCTGAAATAATAATACCGTTTTAGGTCAAAAATAAATAAATGTTAATTTATAAAACAGCTTATCCTAGTGCGTGGTAAGACAATCCTGGTAAGGTTTTGGGTTGATTAGTACGAGGTTTAATTCATTACGTCACGTGTAAGCAGAAAGCAATTACAAAAGTGACAGGGGCGCTTTAAATGGTAATGCGAAGTCGAAATATTGTCATTATAAATATTAGTTGCAAACCCGTCATAAAGATATAATAATTATGGTGTTTTCCTGCCTCCCCAACACATTACATTATTATAATATGACCACTAGCAGCTGAATTTAAGGAAACATTTTACTCAGTAAGTTTCAACTTCGTTCAATACATTTATTGGTTATTTTGCGATAGTGTAAACGCGTTAGCTAGCACCATCCAGCGCTAACGAGCGCTTTATGGCGCTAGCTATCGCGTTTATACTATCGCAAAAGAACCCGTTTATTATTTGCGACGAAGAGCTCAATATAATTGACTTCCTTGAGTCATCTCGTTCCAAAGAGGGCACTGAGCCATCATGCTGTAGGAGGGGCGACAATATCTACTTTGATTGACTTGGTAGGTGCTGACCCCTGAATTCTGCCAGTTTGTTCGCACCGAAAATTCCACAAATCCGTTTGTTCAAGCGGAGAATGGAACAGTATTTATGGTATTTAAAAAGATGCCTAATAGTGAAGGACCATTTACAAACTGAGGCACGTACTACTATGTACTATGTACTATAACCACCGTTTAAATCCCAAGTTTGGGACAAGTGTTTAACTTTATTAATTTCATATTAAAATGGTACAAGAATGTTCAATTTTTTTTCGTATACCGTCTTATTTGCTCCACCAAGTACCGCTCAATTTAAAAGTTGAAGTTAACATTTTTATTCTTGTTTAATAATTTTCAATCCCCTTAATCTGGTATAATTGAAGTAATTTGGTGCAGATCGCCAATCAGTACAGACAGATCTGTACTAAATCAGTGCTGAACTCCTTTATAATATATGTTTTAATGAACATCAATGTTCAGTTTATTAGTTGCAAACCCGTCATAAAGATCGATTTTTTCGATTACAAAGCAATTATTAATTTCGATCGTCTGTTTTTTTTCTTCGGAAAATTATTTTTTGTCGTCTTAAAAACATATGTTTCAAATGTTCATCAGGTGATGAACAACTGATTAACTTTTATTCGAATTTAATAACTCAGTAATGAGCAGCCACTGAGCGTCTGAGCCGCTCATTAAAACATTGGTCACGTGCACAAAGGGAACCCCTTCTGACCTAGAAACTTAAATTATTAGATTGGACAAGGTTTATTCCATCAAAGATGAGCAATTCTTAGAATCGCTACGTCAATGGTCACAAGACTCCGCTATCAAAGATGGAAAATGTGTAGCTGCAATGAGACACTGCAATCACTGAAAATCACTTTGATGTATTATTTTCAAAGCTGTAGTCTCCATAAATTTAAGGTGTCAAAGAAATTTGTTAAAGGTTTTAGGTTTATTGGGCGTCGGAGCTTATGCTCCTTTCACTCTGCAGTTATATTATACTAACACTATCCTTTAATTTTGCTTAGTTCTTGCAGGTTATTTCAATTTAAACAACATTTCTAATGTTAATGCAGAACCTTTGGATATTTAAGTTTCTTTAAGCTATATTAAATTAAATTTAAAAAGTCTATTAGAATCCGATCGTATGGAAATTCTATATATAATAGTAGGTCCTATATATAATAGTATTAAATAATATAGTAATATATCAATTGCAATTTGCAACTGGTTTTTAAAAATAAAATCTTGTCAACAGTTCCAACACTACTAAATTAACACTGATTAAACTAACCAATACATGAGGTGGGCGAGCAGGAAGAAGAAAGCTCCTATCTGGAAGAAATGTGGCTTGAGGGAGAGGAGCATGACGTCACCGATGGCTGACAGCACTAGTCCTGAGGGAATATCGGCGATTTAATTAGAGGGATTTATAGGATTTGCGTTAATTTGTAATGACGGTCGTGATATCTTTAATATCTAGAATTTAAGTTGGGCCGCTTTCCGAAGCGCCTGCCATTATATTCGTGACTGAAAGTGGTTGACCTCTATGATACCTAAACTTTAATATGGATTGGTATTATATATTATATGTCAGGGCGATATTACGAACTACCTTTACTTTGCCAAGTAATCTTAAGATCTAATGGTTCAGCTTGTTCGTACATGTCATTTTCGGCTAGCTTCGCCAGTTTAATTCGAGTTTTAGTGACATATTTGAACGATTTTTAGTGCCAAGACACATCTAAAGGGTATGGTTGAGGTGACACTTTGTTGACCTTCCTCTCTCTCTCTCTCTCTCTCTCTCTCTCTCTCTCTCTCTCTCTCTCTCTCTCTCTCTCTCTCTCTCTCTCTCTCTCTCTCTCTCTCTCTCTCTCTCTCTCTCTCTCTCTCTCTCTCTCTCTCTCTCTCTCTCTCTCTCTCTCTCTCTCTCTCTCTCTCTCTCTCTCTCTCTCTCTCTCTCTCTCTCTCTCTCTCTCTCTCTCTCTCTCTCTCTCTCTCTCTCTCTCTCTCTCTCTCTCTCTCTCTCTCTCTCTCTCTCTCTCTCTCTCTCTCTCTCTCTCTCTCTCTCTCTCTCTCTCTCTCTCTCTCTCTCTCTCTCTCTCTCTCTCTCTCTCTCTCTCTCTCTCTCTCTCTCTCTCTCTCTCTCTCTCTCTCTCTCTCTCTCTCTCTCTCTCTCTCTCTCTCTCTCTCTCTCTCTCTCTCTCTCTCTCTCTCTCTCTCTCTCTCTCTCTCTCTCTCTCTCTCTCTCTCTCTCTCTCTCTCTCTCTCTCTCTCTCTCTCTCTCTATATTTCTCTGCGATTTAATGGCTTCCTCTCAATGACACTGTTTTTCTGATACCTATGGCCAAAGTAGAACCAACGCGAACGGTTGGTCGTTTTCAATCATTTTGAAATGACACAGTCACTTCACAGCTACATTCCAATCTCCAGTTTCATTACATCTAGTGGTGGGGATGCGTGGTTTCATTTTATTAGAGCAACGTTTTGTTCAACACTATCTGTGACTGAGTACTTTTAAGTAAATAGTAAATATTTAATCCTGTTTCCTACTTTTAAAGTAATTCTTCCTAGACAAAGAGGTTCCATTTCCTCCGCAAACGTTTTATCTCTTAAAGACATCCCGCTTCATCCTAGCTATTCAGTTATTGGTCATTAATTAATATGGAGTAGTCTGCTATGAACTATCTGCATAATACAATATTTAATTTAAAGCAGCATAGGCAGACATATTAATCAGAGCAGCAGTTACCATGGTAACCATAGTAACCATAGTAACCATGGTAACAATATGTTAACGAGATACGTGATTCATGAGTCTAGCATCCACAAGGACAACCTTCAAGGGAACCTTGAAGCTCCACTATAGGAACCGACCGGATTGGGGTTTTGGCTGCCGGACCGGATTCAGCCGGATTTGGATCTCAAATCCGGCAAGCCGGATTTTTCCGGACCGGAACCGGTGGTTTCAGAGTGAAATAAAAGGCAGCCGGATTTTGCCGGATTTTGCCGGTTTTTGCCAGATGTTGCCGGAAAATTTCCTTCCTTTCCACGCCTAATCTTCATCGAGCACTTCTTGCAGCTTGCATAAGGGATCCCATTTTCTTCTGAGTAGAACAACCAGACGGACAATGTTTTAGATTTACTACTACTCGACTCGACTTAGGGCGGCTTCAACAATATCTGTTCGATTTAGTTTTTTTACAAATCTTCCTATCTACTACTAGACATTGCTTAAACAAGCAGTACGTAGCAGACACAATGTAACACGAGTAGACACGAGTCACGACACTAGACGAGTAATAATCAGAAATGATATCTAATTGGCATATGCTGCCAGACCCCTGATTGAGCGCGTTTGTGCGAATTCCCTTTTTTTCATGCAAGTCTGAGTATCATTGGGTCACGTGACTTACAACCAGAGGTGCTTAATAAGGTTGTTCGTAAGCAGGCACTGTCTAGTACAGTACTAATTACCGTCTGGCGTCTAGAGCTGAGTCACATGATTGCAGTAATGAGCTAATTAAGTAGCTACCCAGACCCTGAACACGTGACCTTCATATTTCGTATTTCATAATCAGAAGATTAAATACTGCCAATTTTGCGATTATAGCCGGGGGTTAGCTCAGGGAGGTGGCCCAAAATATTTTCCGGTTTTTTCTAAGTCCGCACCTACCCCTCGATACACTATTCTGTATTCTGGACTCAAGGTTTCCCCCGGTAATGCGATCTCGGAAGGCAGGCCTCCCCTTTGCAACACGAGCTCGGAAGCGGGAGCTCTCGATACAGGAGGTACGTCTCGAGAACGACTCGGACCGAAAACTCTAAAGTTAAAATTTGTCGAAGTTTTTCTGAAAACCACTTTTTTCCACGATTCAGGCTACCTTGTTCATTATTAGCCGAAAATATTTTTTCGGTTTTTCGAAGTCCCCACCTACCCCTCGATACACAATTCTGGACTCGAGGTTTCCCCTGGTAATGTGATCACGGAAGGCAGGCCTCCCCTTTGCAACACGAGCTCGGAAGCGGGAGCTCTCGATACAGGAGGTACGTCTCGAGAACGACTCGGACCGAAAAACTTTTTTAAAAGTCAAAATTTTTTAAAAGTTTTTCTGAAAACCACTTTTTTCCACGATTCAGGCTACCCTGTTCATTATTAGCCGAAAATATTTTTTCGGTTTTTCGAAGTCCCCACCTACCCCTCGATACACAATTCTGGACTCGAGGTTTCCCCTGGTAATGTGATCTCGAAAGGCAGGCTTCCCCTTTGCAATACGAGCTCGGAAGCGGGAGCTCTCGATACAGGAGGTACGTCTCGAGAACGACTCGGACCGAAAAACTTCTAAGTCAAAATTTTTTAAAAGTTTTTCTGAAAACCACTTTTTTTTCCACGATTCGGCTACCCTGTTCATTATTTGTTATTAGCCGAAAATATTTTTTTGATTTTTTTTTCGGTAAAAAAAAACTGAAATCCGGCAAAAATCCGGCAAATTTTTTTCCAGCCGGAGCCGGAACCGGAACCGGATTTTGAAGCCGGATATCCGGCCGGAACCGGATTCAGCCGGATTTCCGGTCGGTTCCTACTCCACTAACAGGGCAATGTTAACCTTATCACTCAGCTTCGTGTTCAAAAAGACTTATCAGCTGTTTAAATACATTGTAACGATAATATGGCATGGTATTAGACACCAGACTGCAGTAGATTATTAGTCTTAAAGTGTCTTAAAGTTAGTTGCCTCGTTTTTTTCGTAATATTACCTTTAAATTAAGTTAGAAGTGGGCAGCTAGTCGAAGAGGGCCACTCTAACACGTGACACTGTCACTTGGGCTGTTTCCATAGTAACCATAGTGAACAGTCTGATGGCTGCTGACCTACAATTTATTTATAGAGTTCTTGTAAGTGGCTTGTTCCAGTGTCACACGTAGGTGTTCAAGTTAATTTGACCAGTGCTCGTGTTCTAACGTGAACCTGTAATTTCAGTGTATATGTTTCTTGCCGGCAACATAGTCACAAACTTACTCAACATTTCCATAACCGACAAGAGGGACCCGTGAAAGCTTGAAATGAAGTCCCCCAGTAATAACGGGTAACTCCGTTACCCAAACTAACCCACATGACACGACGTTATTAGTAAGGTATTATAGAAATATAATATCTAGCCTGAGTAACTGTAATAGACTAATAGGGCGGCTCACAATAAAAGGTGCTACAATAATATGTGCACATAATATAGGGGAGGCTAGCCGGGGGGAGGCTAGCCGGGCTCGCTCTGGTGCTGCACTTTAAGTGCCCAATGTTAACGGCAGGTAGCCATTTAAGCAATAAACAGTGCAGCCCATGTCCTGTGGTTGAGTGGTCCATTAGCGCGATAATGTGGTGGGACGCTCCTTATAAGGGCATCACGTGCCACGCTCCTTTACCAACTCTTGATTTTCTGTTGAATATTTATATAAATTGTGCAACCTATTGAGAGGGACAGTGCTGAAAACGATTGTCCGGCTTGTTATAATTTCAACCTTCTGACGTCTTGATTGTTCATTCTCGTACAAACCTTCAAAGATTTACACTGTTATCACCATGGACCTTACTAATTTTTACTCTTATTATTCACTAATTATTTATTTGATTAACTAGGAATTTCTCAATCGGTTTGATTATTGTTTGCTTTGGAAAGGAAACGTAAACGTAAACCCATATCCTAAGATCAACAGAAACTCTGACTTTTAAAAATTTTGAGAGGAAAAATATTGTTCCTGTCTGTTATCTGTTAATAGGAAAAATAGTGTTCCTGTCTGTTATCTGTCAATCTGTAGTTTAATTTTTACAGTTCTGAGAAGATGCAAACTTAGTTAACTTAGTTTTATAGAGTTTCAATTTTAGTTTGCATGACGATTTTCAAAAGATCCCGTCTGATAACTAATAACTATCCAAGAAGTCGGACCCAGTCTGCGGACTACTTATGACATGAAATTAAGCAGATCATATGAATAGTATCTGGGATGCAATTAGTTACGATTAATTGTAATGTTGTAAATTGCTGATTGAAATTAATGATTAAAATGTGGTACATGAGTCATTCGATTTCTGTACTGGGTGGGGCTTCTTGGATAATGCCCAGGCTTTTGTTTCAGGTGACAGTGAACGTGATGGCACGTCGTGTTCAGATTATCTGTGTAATCTAGTCACTGAATTCTATACAATTAAAAAAAGTTATCCTGCCCATGCCCCACACTCGTGACAAACAATAGTTGCTTCATTCATTTTCACTCTTCAGTACATTGTTCGGTCTATCAATAATATTGCATGAACTGCTTGAGTAAGATCACGTTTGAATTGCTTTTAAAATATATAATCTTCTTACTTTTACGTAATGTCTTTTTTACATATTTTTGTCAT